TTATAAGGCTTTATCTTTTCCAACAATATCATTATAAGGCCGGCCAACAATATTGTTGCCAAATTAAAGTCATGGACAAGTTTATCAGCCATGTTGTTTTTTGTGTTGCTTTAAGCAATTTCATTGTTCATTAAACTAAGAGTAGCTTCATCTGAACATTTTTAGTTTTTACAGAAAAAAATATAATTATCAATGTAATTTGGATCCTCTTCAATAGGGTCAGGAGTTGTAACCTGAGAGAGAATAACCCAACAACAGATACGCCTTTCATTTAAAAAAAAAAAAGACTTTACTTATTTTAAGATTGAGCTTTTTTTTTTAAGAGACACTACTACAGAAAAGTGTATAATTGACTCCCTATAATTGATGTTTATTTAAAAAAATGACAAATAAAAAAGGCAAAAAATACTTGACGGTTTTTACGAAACAAACATCAAATATTTAAGCAGATATTTGACGGTTATTTAAAGATAACCGTCAAGTATGCATATTTGATGTTTTTTATAAATAACCATAATATAAAGCTAAAATTTACACGTCGGTTTTCGATAAACAATTGTCAAATTAACAGTGGAAAAAAATTAAATTTTTTCACATACTTGATACTTTTTTTAAAATAACTATCAAGTTTGTCTACTATATACTTGACAATTTTTTTAAAAGAAGCGTCAAATATGTAATACTTGACGGTTATTTCATAATAACCGTCAAGTATTGTCATTTAAATTTCCTTCAGATTTCGTTTTCTCTCTCCATTTTTGCAAATCTTTCGTCTTCAGAAACAAACGCATAGCCACCAAAACCCATATTTCATCACTCTAACTACCAAAAACATATTTTTAGTTTCAATTCTTGAGGAGTTTTTTATTCTCGGCCTCCATAAGTCTCGTGGGCACTCATTCGTTTGGATTCTCGGTCTCTATCACCCTGCAACAAACTCTCGTCTCTGGTTTTCTACACAGTTAGCATTCCCTCTTCTTGTTGAGGTAGGTTCTTGCTTTTCTAATCATTAATCTTCATTTTGAATGTATGGGTTGTTGATTTTGATTTTCATACACAATAAATGATTTCTGTGTTGCTTATTTTGATCTGCATTGTTGTTCTTCTTAGTGAGTGTTTGAAGTTTTGAGTTTTTAGGTGCTCAATTATTGAATTAATGGATTATCCAATTATTTTGCTGATATGAGGAGATTCATTAAGGATATAAAAATAGTATACTACCTAATTACCTTGTTTTTAAGTTCTGAGTATTTGTTCTGAAATTAAATGATTAATTTAGATTTATATTCCTTGAGTTGTCAATTTTTATTGTGTTCTTAAATATAAAGAGTGTCAAAGATATTTTTAAGTAATTAGATAATTTTATCCTTATCTTAAAAAATAAAATAGATCGTTAATTGTATGTTTTCTCCACTATCATCATGATATTAATTATGATATTATTAGAGGTAAAATTAAAAATTTATTGTGTTTTTATGTAAATTTAACTAAATAACAAACCTTTATTAACATGCAAGATCTGATTAAAAATATGTTATATATAAGAATAGAGGAATATACTAATTCCTGTGTCCATGCCCCACATGCTGAGACTTAATTAAGCCTTACATTTACTTACCTGCCCTGCACATTTTTCATAACATTTGGTTTTTTCTGAAGCATGCATCATACATTTAAAACAAAACATCATGAACTTAATTACTATTACTACACATACAATTAAATAAGTATATTGTTGCAAATGTTGGCACCTTTTCATACGGTGACGGAGGGACGAGTGATTAAAAGCATTAATTAATGGAGGTGCCGGCGATCCCAAACATAATTATTTCAAAATTTATTTATCAATATTTATCAAAATTATAAACAGGTGCCTCAATATCCTCTTTTAATTGAGAGTTGGGTGGATGAATGATGAGTCAACTTGCTAGCTATGCAACTTATAATTTTGATAGGTTGAATTGGGCTAGCTTGTTTTCTAACATGTTAGGACAACTTAATTCAACTTGACAAGTTGATGAGTTTGTAGGTTGGCAATTTTGATTTCTTTTTTTTTTTTAAGATTTAAAATTTATAATTAACATATTATTTATATATATTTATATTCAAATTAAATCATTGTTAGACAAATTTTACCTAATAACCTTTATTTTATTGCCACTCAAAAATATACTCATACCGTTATTTTGGTCAAATGGGCTGTTTTTATATTTTAGGTTCATTGCTTCGAATCCAATTTTTCTAATGTTTATCAAAATTTGAAATTTTCTGTTGTGCATTCTTGAAAGGCAGTGGCACTTCAAAAAAAGTTTAGAAGCCAAACTTTTTTAACTTAGATGTCCCATTGAAAGTAAGCTTGAATAATAAAAAAAGATTAAAAAAACAAATGAGAATGAAATTGATAAAATAAAAATAATTAGAATTAAAAATATTTTTTGGTATCACAAAAAATTTAATGTAATTTTGATATTATTTTTACCTAGTTCCTATGAATTATGAATAAAATAGAAAAAGGAAGTCAAAATATTAAAAAAATTCTACTATATTTTTACTATTAATCATCTTTTTTTCTAGAGTTATCTTTTTCACTAAAAAAAAACATGAATCCATATTAGTTTTCTTAACAAATTTATATTTGTGATTTCAATCAATAAATCTTCTTAGATTAACAAATAATATATGCTCAAAATATTTTTTTAAAAACTAATAAATCATAGATTTACAAAGTGGAGCAAAAATTTCATTTGCAAATTATTAACAGCTCAATGTTGTTGTCATTTAGATTAATAGAGAGAGGGGATAAAGCTCGAAAAACTCTCTTTTTCAAGTCATTATGCTGCCAAAATTATTTCAATAGCGAGCATTAAAATATAATTATTAGTTTTAAATAAGATTAAAGAGGGAATGTACAAACATGTGGTTAGTGACTTATTGACTGATTGATCTTTATATTTAATTCTCCCACTAGCTAGGAGTAGTCAAAGTCACTAATCATATTTCCCTCTTAATCTTTCTAGGAATTATGGATAAGGAATGTATGTTTGCCAATCGTCTATCCAAAGAATATTGGGATGGGGTGGCAAATTTTGTTAAGCTTGCAGTTAAGCATGCGGAGGATCCTACTAGGATTATTTGCCCATGTTTAAAGTACAGTCTTGTGAAGCGAGTTAGTCCAGATAATTGTAAAGAACACTTAGTGATTAATGGTTTGGATCAAAGTTATAAGTGTTGGACAATGCATGGAGAGACAAGAGATGATATTGGTTACAGCCAGAAGCATAGTGAAAGTTGTGCATCATCTCCTAATGATTTTGATGCATGCACACTTGAGGAAGATTGTCTTGAACAGATGGTCAAAGCAGTTGAAGAGGACCTTGAGGATTGTTCGGAAATGTTTGAGAAATTGAAAAGTGATGCGGAGACACTGTTGTATGTTGGTTGTAGTGCATCAAAGTTATCAGCAGTGTTAAAAATGTACAACATGAAGGCAAAACATGGTTGGAGTGATGCGAGCTTTACTGAGTTGCTTGGGTATTTGAAAGTAGAATTACTTTCTAAGGAAAATGAGCTTCCTTGTCGAACATATGACGCAAAACAAATATTGCGATCAATTGGCATGAGTTATGAAAAGATACACTCGTGCCCTAATGATTGCCTTTTATTTCGGAATAAATATGCGTCGTTAACCAAGTGTCCGAAGTGTAATGCCTCACGCTACAAGCAGAACGAATCAAGTCCCGTGAAGGCATTATGGTATTTTCCAATCGTGCCTAGATTTAAACGCATGTATAGCAATGTAGAAATTGCGAAAAGCTTAACATGGCATGCGGATGAAAAGATAAAAGATGGCATACTTCATCATCCTGCTGATTCTCCACAATGAAGAAAGATTGATTATGAGTACCCTGAATTTGGGGAAGAGAGTAGGAATCTATGCCTTGCATTGTCTGCCGACGGGATGAATCCTCGTGGATTCAAAGTAGTGGCCACAGCACTTGACCAGTCATTTTGGTGATTTATAACCTTCCTCCATGGCTTTGCATGAAGCGCAAGTATATGATGTTGTCCATGCTAATTGCAGGACCCAAGCAACTTGGGAATGACATAGACATATATTTGACTCCTCTAATTGATGTCTTGAAGATCATTTTGGTGATTTTTTGTAAATAGGAACTAAGGTGCTTCTCTTTCATTTGTCAAGCATTTTTTTTAACCATAAAATTTGATTAAATAACTTAGTTACATCGCACCTACTCTTTACTTAAATATTTTCACACTTCAATAAGAATATAATCAGATTCATTAACTTTACCATTTGTCATTTTTTTTAAGAACTTCCTTACATCTTATTATCGCATTTCCTTCTCTGGAATGATAAATTCTGATTTCATGAGTACATTACATCTATAATTTTAAATGCAGTCTGCATTCTATTGTTCCTCATTAGATTCTTCAAAAATTTTCCAAATATACTTACACAGATTCACAATTTATTTAGTGAGAAATTTTGCATCAGTGAATCCCATTTCGAAATTGTCACCAGATCAACTTCCATATTGAAGATCTCATCAAGAGTCCATTAAAAAAATGGGGGAAGAAAAAACCTACTAGTTGCAATTTTGTTAAAAGGGCCATCCTCGTCAACAAAGAAATATTAAGCCTGAGTTGTCATCGATGGGCCTCAATCAAAGGCCAGATGCCTTAAAATCTTGAAAATGGCAGCCCAAATGGAAAAGCAAAAATGCCCATAACATGATTAAAGGCTTCCAAAGTGGCCCAAAAGGATTAAGTGGGTTTTAGTAATGTTTACGATAGCAGTCCAAGAAATTCACCAAGGACTGTGTTTGATACAACTTGGTTGAAAGGCCTAATTATATTGATGGGCCTTTATGAAAGGCCTCTTATGCAGTGAAATTTATGTAAGGCCCAATTGAAGATAAGGAAATGCCCAAATAGGTTTAACGGGCTTTGGCCCAAATTCTAAGCACCTGGGAGAAGGTGCAAGCGTAATGCGCCTCTGTGACAGTTGATACTGACGGAACAATGGCTTCGTCGTCGTCTTCGGGGATGGCGGAACGATGAGGAATACCGGGAGCTCGTTAAGTAGAGGATTTTCAGACTTATCTCTGACAGTCGGTTTCGATGTCAGTTCCGAGCCTGTCTTCCTTCCAGAAAGGTATCTCTTGTTCTCTGGTCTTTATTCTTTTCTTTTTCCCTTCCTGTTATTGTCAAATCGTCCGATACCTTTCAATATTGATTAATGATTTCTAGATTGACCCTCCCCCGCCGAAAAAAAAAAATTGGCACTTTTTCGCACATTAGTAGTAGTATATTGACTTCCTAAAACAAGCACTTATTTGATCAATTATTTTACACGTTAAACTTCCAGAGGGATCCTTTTTATTTATGATGCTGTCTTGGTGAACCCGGCATTCTTTTGGTGAACAATACAACTTGGTTGAAATGAAGCTTCTAGCTCAGCAAAGGGATCTTCAGGTGCCAATTATATTGTTATCACGTTATCACCCCTCCCAGAACTCCGAAGCAAACAATACATTTCTTATCTTAATAGCAGTGTCTACTGTCGCATGAACTCTCTGTTTAGTGGTTTGATTGAGGAGAAAAAGAGCTGAGCTTGATTGGAGAATTCATAAGCTGCACTGAGTAAACCTATGACTGCTATAAGTACAATTGTCAATTTGTCATTTGGATGTCAACTAGAGGTTCGGGTTCCTGCTTCACTGGATCACGTAGCAACTCTGCAATCTCTTTTGTTTTTTTTCCCCTTTATAGTATTTCATGATTATTGTCATTTTGGAGCATGTATCATGGGAGTGAACATTTCATTTTTCTGAGACTTATAGAGGCTGCAAAGTGCGATATGCAGCAACATCCTGACTACAGCAATTATAGACTCCTCAAGGGGCAAACAGACTTTCCCTACGTCAAGGCTAACAAGTTGTCTTTCCCCACTAATCTTCATAGTTCAAGGATGGGTGGTGGTGGTAGTAGTAGCGTAGAGTATTAATGAGAAATAAAAATCATAGATATTCTTTTCTTTCCCTACTTTTATTATTTAAAAATCAAAGTAATTAAGTTTAAGTTTTGTTTTGTTTTGTCTTTTTGTTTTTTTTACACCATTCCTGTCATTGCTGCTAGTTCACTTTTTTTTAGTGGTTCTCAGGCAAAGATTCCAGAAATTGATAGGTGTTCGGATGTTAATGCCATATTGCACACTAGGAAGGGTACTGATGAGGTTCATTTTTGGTGTGAATTTGCGTAATTTTCAGTATGCTTGGTAGTTTATCAGACTGCTAAAATTCAATGCTTCATGTACTGTTGATGCATATAATTTGGTAATGTTTGCAGTGATTGTTTTGTGGTTGATATATTCTAAAACATGGCTGCTTCATCAGCTTTCTTTTAAGTACTCCCTCTAGTCCTATTTATAGGACAGAGAGAGAAAAATTTTTTTGTCTTTAAGTCACGTCATTAAATTTTTATTAGAAATTTTCTCTTTCACCCTCCATTGAATGTTGGAGAGAAAAAATATGTTATTGAAGGTGTATATTTAATAGGGACAAAGTTAAGAATTTATTAAATTTTAAGACAGAGTTAATGAGTTTTAAGGTTTTTCTTAGTATTGGTAAAATATGTTGGAAGTGACTTATAAATAAGACTAGAATAGTACAATATTAATGGAAAATGGAACATGGTAATTGATAAGGTTCATTTCAATCTGAGTTTTTAAGCTGTTGTGTCAAAGCCCATGTATAGTTTTTGTTTTAATCTCCAATAGAATTATTAGCAGTCATGCCCTGATGATTTTCTGATGGAGCCGTTTATATCATCAATATCTTTGAAAAATTTGCCTTGTAAGAATGACATAGGAGGTGCAGCCCCAGTGCCGAGTTGTGTACTTTTGTACTCCCATAAACTTGATGAAAGGAGTGGGCAAATGTTCTAACAAACACAATGGGTGCCGGGTGGACGGATTTTGGAAAGATAACTTGTTCAATGGAGTATTTAAATGTTAAGGTGTATTCACATTTGGTTCCTCTTTAGGCGATGATGATTTGTCTGCTGCGTAATATTTAGAGTATAATCCCAATATAAAGCTATTTTTGTTTTTCCTATTTATAGCGACAACATTGTTATTATTATAAACAATATAACATATGTAATATTGGTACTAGCATAGTAAACAGCCAACATTGATTCCAAATTGCAACTCTTACAACTTTTGTTGTCACCATTCTTTCTTGGAATCTAAGAAGCATGTATATTTGCTTCTTGCAGTTGTATATGGTTTTGGATGAAATCTTTCCAAATTGTTTTTTTTTTTTTTGAAACTGTTCTACAACCCAAAAAAGTGTTCTTATAAAATATGCTAAAAAACGCCCTTGGAATAAATAAAAACTCAACGGACTATAATAATACACACAGGAAAGGCTCTGAACTCTTGATGCTTCTTAAATAATAATGATGATGATGATGATCGCATTCTATATAACATTTGTAGTATTTTATTAATACGTCCTGCGAAATCTTTTCCCCATCTTTTCCAAAAGTTACCACATCACTGTATGGGAACTTTTTCAGAAACAGTATGCAAGTCATATCTGTGCATCATAATTTTGTTCCCTCTACCCATTTTTATCCGGTCTTAAAAAAGCTTTAGGTAAACTATTGCTAATTATTTGTCATTTTTAATAGTCAAATACATGTGCTACTGACTAGATGGTTTACGCTTCATGTTGTACTTAAACACTTATTGCTGATTTTGAAGCATCAGAAGGCATATACCCGAGCTTGTGCAGAGGAGACTGAGTCGGTGTGTTTATGACTTGTTGAAAATGATATGTTGGAAAGTTCATTAGATAAGGTCCTCGAGCTTTAGTTTTAGATGTTATTACTATCTTTTCCTTCTCAATATATCACCCCAAGTCCAACATCCCTACCACTTCATTTCTAGTGGAGGTTACTTCTATTTTACAGAAGAACCTGGATAATGCTAAAGCTTGTTTAGAAGTTATTGTTGGTGACATGCTGTTCTCAATGGACCCGGTGACAGTAACTCAGGTCAGATTGCCAATTACCTGAGTGTTTGAGCCTAAAATATTTTGTCCGGAGAAGAATCTCGAGAACACCATCTCGTGGTCTTCTGGGCTTGAAAAGTGAATAGGCCAAATCCATTTTTATGCTAAATTTCAACTTAATGATGAAGTATAGGGTGGCAAAGGTCGAGTTCTCAACCACCTTGTCATAGAGATTGAAATACCATACCAAAGACCATTGCACATTCCAAAAGCATGAATGGTTACAAACTCATAATATTTTATTTATATATGTGTAACGTATGATTCTCATTTTATTCATTACGTCTTGATGGTTTGGAAGCAAAATATTTTATGAAAGTAATTATGTTTGAACTTGATGTTGTATTTTCATTTTGAAAATTGAGACGGAAAACTGTTATAAATGACGGGTGCAAATAATACCCAATCCTTTTTTTTTTCTGTATTCCTTTTCATTTCCGTATTTAGAAAGAAAACATATGATTTACAGTCCTTATGTTGGATCTCTTACTTTCCCTTCTCCATATTTGTATTGTACTCTTTTTTAATGTAAATTTTTAGTTACGTTTATCATGTAAACCTTACACAGGGTTCTTGATGATAACTATTTGCATTGCAATTCTTGGTATTTCATGTAAATTTGATCAGGTTACAACTTGTCTCATTATTTGTGATGTACATCAACGAAGAATTTGACAAGCTTCTACAGCTACAGTTACTGCTCGAGAATCACAGAGAACGAAGTTAATAAACACCTATATTCAAGTTGGCTCTTGAGAGTATGATTCTGATCTCGTTTCACTTTCTAAAAGCTACGTGTAGATGGAAACTCCTGTTGATTCTTTTTCCTCTGGTTTTACCACAGCTGATTCTGTCAAAGATGAGAAACCAGTTTCATACTAGTTTCAAGGCATTGAGCTCTGTAACGTCATATGTTAAAAAAAAACTATATTCTGTTGATGGGCATGTTTCGTTTCTTGTGAGTGATCATATGGGTATTTTTATTCTCTCAAACTAGTCTCATTGTTTAATGTTTAATTTTATAATGTAGATGCTAGTGGCAACCATGTTTAAGCAAATGCTGATATTCAGAGGGGACCCACAAAAGCTTCAGTTTGCGAATGAAATCTGTCGGCAACACTACGCAAGATGAAGATGACAAGCACTTCAAAATCATTTGTTCTCCAATGATGTCATCTCAATCTTATCAAAATGGTTTTAGATGTAAATGGTTTATGATATATATAATACTGTCATTGTTCTTAGTCCGAAATGAGATGATGCCTAGTCTAATGCATGATCCAGTCAACCGGTCTACTCCTACAATTTCTAGAAAGCATCATAAACAATTGAAAAGTTGGCTATTGAGAATCTTAGTCTTTAAGGGATTTGATATGTTTTAATCTCACAATTTCTTAAAAAAAAAAATTCACATGTATTGGTGCATAAATATAAAAAGCATCATAAATAATTTAAGGTTGTCATGAAAACAATCTTGGTACATGAATATTTTTCAAGAGTTGAAACAATCAAGTTCTTGTTTGATACACGAAAACCATTGGATATGACAATAGAAAGAAAACGTAAGTCCACATCATTTTAAAATAGTGTTGTTCTTATATTGGATATCTCAGATGACTTGATGCTTTCTGGAACCCTGTTATGATGGTCAAGGAAACGGTATACCAAATAGCCGTTAATTTATTTTGTTTGAATGTGATGGTCTAAGTATTAGCATATTAAATTCAAGTGTTTTGATTGTTACTTGATATCCAAGACACAGAAGATGAAGATATTGATGTGAAAAGGGCTTCTTGTTGAGCTGTGTTTGTTTGAACAGGCAAGAGCAAAAGGTTAGGTGGAGTTACACTAATGAGATTGTATTAAAACAGGTATGGCTTGTTGTGTTATTATATTATATAGAGCTTGACATGGAAGTTGAATATAGTAAAGAGTGGCTCTCTTGATTTAATTTTTTTTGAAGGGCATGGAACTCTGCCACATGGGGACCCATAAACGACGGTGAGTGTCTGCATCTCAAATCTCTGAAAAGTCAAAAAAGCAATCCAAGCTTTTCAGGTATTTGAACCATAAAAGACACCTTCTCTTTTCTATTCTTAAAAAATACTGGACCCTCTTCTGCGTTGAAACAGATTTTTTTTTTTTTGCCCCTTTCGGCTTCTTGGGAGTGTCGTTGAGAGCATGGAATCTCAATGAAACATGCCATGTTTAGATTCAGGTCCTGTGATGTTAAAATTACTTTGAAGTGACATAGGGGAAGAGAGTGAGACTTGAATATAGTACAAAAGTTCATGCGTCCATTTTCACATGTTCTCCTGGACCTGGTCATCCAAGTTTTCACTTTCACCAAATTGAGCTGGTCAACCTTTCAAAAGATTAATGACAAAACTGTAGTTAAATTGTTTTAAAATCATAAAATTGAACATATACAAAGCATTTTATTAAATTAGTTAAGGCATTAGTTCAACTAGTCAGTTGGACCCTGTTTTCAATACTATGGAAAAAGAATTTCGTTATAACTAAAATATAAGTGTATTGGATTTTATTTTCCTAATCTTAACATCTGTGAAAACTTGTATGAGATCAATTTTCTTAACTTACTCTAGCTATTCATGAATTTAGCTGTTTCTAGTTTGATATTTTTAAAGAACTATAAAAAATATATACCCTCCCCTTCGTTATTATAAGTCACCTTTTATGAGAAATTGATAATCATTAATATAAGACACTTGATGAAATGTTAATTATATTTTTTAAAGACTATCCCTATTGAAATTTATTAATTATAAGAGAGAATGTAATGTAAATTAAAAATTCTTTTATTTAAATGAGTAAAATAAAAAGTTTATTCTTTTTTCAATCAAAACTAATGACTTAATCACCTCTCTTTGTTTTATTAATGTGATTAGAGATGTCTTATGATATGTGTCATATAGAGTACATGTATAGATTTGAAATTCCCTCATCTGTATGCTAAACGAGTCTTTGAACTCAACAAGCCTTAATACAAGTGAAAAGTTTGTTGAAAATAAAGGTTGTACACCTGTACTAAATTTTAATTTCCTAGCGGTTGCTTGTAATAATGTGCAGATAAAGCCTTAGTTCAAAGGATGATTCGATGAGAGTCACTGGAAATGATTGAAGGGTTACATATTTATCATCAGAAAGTAATTAATAATTATTTTGCTAAAAAAATTCGTCCTCATATACACCAATGTAATGGCATAAATGTGTTGCAATTTTTTTTTTTTTATCATCATATTGTACGTCTCAAACGTATTCTAATCAGTCCAAAATGTTTCAATTAATCACGTCCACATGACCTAAAGGCAAACTTAATTAAGAAAGCCATGTGTAAAACACATAACAAGTCACAATATAATTGAAGGATGAAGTGACATGAGATTCATTTAGTTGTGAAAGGAAATTATAGAGAACTCCGGAATCATTATAGAATTATGATGAACAATAATTTTCATGAATTTTTAATTTTGGTATGGAACATTTAGGAGCATTAACTTGCACGCAATAATAGGCAAGTATAAAGCAGTGCTTTGTATACGAATATTTGTTTATTACAGGAAATGTCTGTGGCGAATTTATACGCATTATTGACAGTACAAATATTCCTTCAGGCCTTTGGAAAATATACCGTTCTTTGGCAAGCTATATGGTATATGCTATCTGCAACTATACATACATTTACATGTACCTTTGTAATCTTGCACAACTTGAAAATGTAGATTAGAGTGAGAATCCCATTCTTTTTTTTTTTTTTGGACTTGATATTTTGGGAGTTATATTTAAAACTTCAATGTTTTATTAGCAATTAAAATTTTGAGAATTGCAATTGTCTTTTCAATTTTTTAAAAAATTTATTAGAGATTTAATTGTCATTAATTTAATATTTTAAAATCTAACTGTTATTCTCTTTTAATTGAATGGCAGATAATATTTTGAAAATGTCGAAAATTCATCTGTTGCATTATGTTGATAGTGCCATTAACGAAAGAATTCCTAAGCATACCGATTAATCTAGTGATGTATTGATGCAGGGAGTGCTTGGATTTCTTTGTTTAAAAATCATGATTTGGGTAGGCATAATTGATTATTTGGAGTTATCCAAACATATAAAAGAAAAATTAATTATTTAATTTCTATGTTTTTTTAGTATTTACTTGATTATAATTCAATTTTTATAATTTTATTTAGTTACAATTTAATCTTTAAATTTTAACTCAATACAACTCAATCTTTACACTTCAAGACATTTGAACTATTACTCATTTTTAACAATAACTTTATTTTTAAAAAATTGTAGAGAACAACATTTTAAATTGATACAATTATGAAAATTGAATTGCAAGAGTTAAAATTTAGATATTAAGTTTTGAGTGAAATAAAATTATATAATTTATGTTGCACCAAATTAAAATTTAGGAATTAGGTTTTAAATTATTTAAAATTACATGGATCAAGTGATGAAGTTTTCAATATTTTCTCCATTAAAAAATAAAAATATTTTTAATCAAATTTCAATCATAAATGAAATAATTAAGTGTCTACAAAATAAGAATACATCTTCATATTTATTTAAATAAGTGTTTTATTTTAAAATAAATATAAATTTATTTATTTATTATGGACACTTTTAAAAATATTCATTAATTATATCTTTAAATATTAAAAATATATTCTAAACGATCAATCCTTCAAAAAAATGCTTTATTTTTTTAACCCAAGAGTATAAATTATAAAGATGCGAACTATTCACAAATCACATTACATTTCAATGGGGTCTGAAATATTATGGCAAAAAAAAAACAGCGGGCAAAAACAAAAAAGGATTTGAAATATTAAATGATACGAATTGTTTTTATTATTAATGTTAACATTAATAATAAATCAAACAGCGGGCAAATACTAGTGCATGGACACGAATTGTTTTTTTTTTTTAAAAAAAAAAAAAAGGAAGAGGAGTAGGTTGTCTATAGAAAGCCGTGCACGCAAAACGAAGCAGATTTGTGGGCTTTGCTTGCTCATTGAAAGCTCCTTTGCCCCTTACGCCCTGCTCCTTTACGCGTTTTCTGCCTTTTCCATTTCTGCCCTTTTCCCTCTCTTTTACCATTTTATTATTAATATTAGCATCACCCTCATTATTGTTATTAGTACTATTCTGCACGAAATGTTGACTTTGACTTCGCTCATTCGTCGCCGTTCCCCAACATCTATTTAAAATTAAATTACTTCAGAAAAATTCCATTAAATTTAATAGGAACTGTTAAAAATACAGAGAGTGAGAGATGCCGCAATCACCGTTTGCGTGATGTTGGCTTGCTCTCTCTCTCTCTCTAGATGCCTGAGCTACTGAAAATTCGTTTACTCCTCAGTCAAGACGTTTTCCTTCGTGTAAATTGTTATCATTTTCTTTAAGTAAAAAATTTCACTACCTTTTTTTATGTATAAATTGTTCTCATTTTCTTGGTGTAAGTTGCTATTCTTTGCCAATAAAGAGTAATCTCAATCTAGTTAGTAAAAATTTGAGTTTAAACCCTATTGTTAATGTAACAATTTTGTTAGTTGACAATTTATAAATATTTATATTTTGAGTTAAAGTATTTAAAGGCGCAATATTATCTTGACGTTTTTTAAAAAAAACAATTTCGCCTTGTCATTACAGAAGGCCCACGTTGATTGCTATCTTTACTTGTTTGATCATTATCTTCAACTTGCACACTACATCACTTATCACGTAAGATGAGGTTATTTTAAAAATAAAAATAAAAATTAAAACACATTTTCTCAAATCTGCCGTATTCATTTTCACTTTGCAGCTTCACCTTCATCTCCTCATCTTCTCCATCACTAAGCTTAGGGTGAGCTTGTGGCATCAACGTTGGTACTTCAAGGTGTTGATGAAGTGAAGGTCTAGGCAACAAAGATGTAAAAGATGAAGGAGGTGAGGGAGAGGAGGGAAATAAGGATCCAACAAATGGCAGCACTGGAGGCAAGAGGAAATGGAGGGGACCAAGAAAATGAGGTTGAGGAAGAAGAGGAGAATTTAGAAGAGCTTGTGAACCTCCTTCTTCTAGAGTTCAATGGCACACTTCTTCTCTTAAGTCATTTTGAAGTCAAGCTAGATTATAGTGTTGAGGGCTTGTAATGCCGTCTCCTTCTAATAGTAGTGGTTGCCTTTGTAGTCCGCAATGGATGAAGGAATGAAGAATTTGCAATTGCAAGCAAGCAGAAGAACGTTGGGAATTTTCTAATATGAGGTTGTAAATGAATTAAACAAAAATGGTATAATAGGATAAGTAAAGGCAGTGAATTAGATTGGGTCTGCATCCATAAAATTCATATAGGATTCCATGCCTTCATCCACACAACAAGACAAGCTTTAATCATTAATTCATGGTTTGCACTACTCGTTTTGTTTGTAAGCAAAACTATCACTTTTTACTTTTTCTATATAAGTAAAATCAATAAGCATTCATTATACATTTTTTAAATCACCTCTCATAATTTACACTAACGAGAAATAATTGATGCATGCTTATATTGATTAACATGGACATTTTAATCCTATTTCTTCATTTTTAGACATAATTATTATAGTTCACTAACTTTCTTACACTATATGATGCAATTTTTTTTCCTTATTTATAGAAACGGAGGAAGTATTTTGGTTAGATACAATTAATTACTAGCAAGAAAAGAAAGCTTACAATCCCACCGCCGTTCTCTTTCATCTTGAAGCTTACAATCCTTTCGAGCAGAAAACTCATTAATCTTGAAGTCGAAGCTGATTTGAGAAAAGAAGAGAGGAGAGAGAAGACAAGTTTCAAGAGAGATACTTACAAGTGATGTGGCATGCAAATCTGAAAGAGGGAAGATGAAGAAAGAAGACAAAGCCAATTAGGGTGAGGAAGGAAAGAGGGAGAAGATGAGTCTCAGTTTTTTATTTTTAAAACAATCCCTCTCAAAAGTCTCAGTAACTAAAATTAACATGTAATTATGCATGTGGACGTAACTAATCATGCGGTTATTAAGTGAAAAATGAAACATTTATTAGAACAACCAATTCTAAACAAACCAAAACAAATATTTAAATGCAAACTACACCTTATATTCCTCTTTATTCCATGGTTAAAAGCCAAATCATCTGGCTAAAAGTGAGTTGGATTAAGCTACAAGCCACTCATTGAGTCTAATGAAGACTTATCACATGGAAAAGGCTATTCAAGCAAAATTTTCCAACAACACCATATATCAAAATATTTTGATAAGTCATGAATAATTTAGACAATCGAACAAAAACATAACCTAACAACTTTCATGCTTTAAACAATAATATTTCAACATAATATACAAATATAATTTTAACTCACTTGGAAATAATTCCAAATAATTACATATGTACATATATTTCCAAACAATTATGATTTCTCCAAAATAAAAAACAACACATAATTAATCACACACATCACTACATATTAATAACAGTTATCTTGTGTCGTGTACAATAAATTCTCCTTCACAATACTACTTCCTCCAATCTTTTGATTAACACGATCTACACAACTATTTAATAATATATAATATTAATTTTATAATTAACAATTATTCTTAACTCTAATTATAGAGTTAAGAAGTCTAGGCTTAATCCATATTTAGTACTAAATTAAGGTTAGTATTCATTTTAACCCTTCCACATTTAATCACAACCATTCTGACTCGAGCCCAAACTTAATTTTGGATCCACTTTGGTCCAATACCCATTGGTGACCCCCCCCCCCAAACAACTCTCATACATGTTCTTAGGCCCAATTGACACTTTAATTAAGTATCTAACTAATTAATTAACCTCAATAAAACATAATTTCATAAATAAATTCTCAATCAAACATATTTTTCTCAATTAATTCCCTGATTTAAAAATTAAGATGCTAAAACTCTCCCTTCTTTTTAGGAATTTTGTCTTCAAATTTTAAAGTTGGTAATATACACTATTACTTATGTAACCCAGTGAGGGTTAGTTTCACCCATATTCACTACTGTCTTTAGTTGATAATCACATGATGCTATACCCTCCTAGATCACCTTCAGTAGCTGAATGCTCTTATTGCATCATTGTTTGTCCTTGAAGTCTTCAATTTTCTTAGATTTGGGCCTGAAGGTCAAATTCTTTCTCAGTTTTGTCTCTCTAGGTTCGATGATATGGGAGGAATTTGGGTTGTACTTCTTCAATTGTGACACACAACATGCAAATACTTGCAATCTAAGGTGGCACTGTAACCTTGTAGGCACAACCGGTCCAATTCAATCTAAAATCTTAAACAGACCCATGACTCTAGTCGTCAACTTTTTCGCCTTAAATGGTGCTACCAATGCCAATCAGCAGAACTCTAAAAAATACATGGTCACCAATCTCAAATCTCCTATGGTTGTCTCTTCCTATCAGCATGTTTCCATTTGATTATAATAATTTTTTGAGTAGCTTGATCCATAATCATCAAAACTCATGTTACCCTTATCCTAGACCGTTACCTAGCTTAAAGAAATCTACATTTCTTTCGTAAATTGTCTTATAAGGCGTCATGTTAAGTGTTGAAGTAGTAACTTTTGTTGTAAATTAAACAGCAAAATTCGATTATGGAAAAGGATTATACAAACTGCTTCTCAAGTTATAGATTCAGGTTCTTAATATATGATGCATACCTAAATGGTTCGTTCAATTTGTTGTTCATTTATTGGGGGTACTACTCCTCAGCTTGTCCTCATGGCAAAAATTATCTATCCATCTTATTGGTCACTACTTCAATTTGTAAGCTTTATTTGGTGTATCACATAGATATTCTTGATTCACGATGATTTATAACTTATCCCTTATAATGCCACGATTGGAATCATTTCTCACCTTCGATCAATACAAAACACAATCATTACTATCCTCAAAAATCACCGGCGTATGTGCCTATACACAATTAATTAGAATAACTTCTGTGACTGCTATTAGAAATCAATAGAGGGCTCTATTCAATACAATCCCGAACAAGAAAGCCAAAACATACCCTTTAATATCTTCTGGCATTAACAGTATTTGATCATGTAATCCTATCTCCATACATTTCATTATCATCATCCGCCTACTACATTACATTTTCTCTGTGGCTATGTTAACTCGCATAATATCCTAGTTTCTCAAATTCACACAAATTACATTCCATAACTATTCTCGAATTCCCACAAATTATTACATTCACAATTTTCCTACCAAAAAAATTAATTATTATCATATTCTAGTTGCTTCAAGGACGGGCATAAAGAGACATAAACTTTAGAAAAAATTTGCCCACTAGCCAAAAAAAGTCTTGTGCCCAGAAAACATTTTTAAAATTTTAAGAGTATAGCTAGTTTATATTGATATATAAAATGTTTATCATTACTATGCAAGAAGTTTATCATTAAAAATTTAAAAATTTATGAAGAGGTTATCAGTAATATACAACAATATATCATTAAAAAATAAAATAAACCAACCATAATGTAAAATATAATAAATATTGAGATCATATAATATGGGCTATATTTGCAAAATCTCCTAAACCTTATTACTCTTCCTGTAAACATACGGCTTATCATCAACCAATTGGTACACTAAAAACTTTTACTTATAAAATGAGGGCTTATTCAACGAATAATCCTATCCAATTTTCCAAAAATCCTCGAAAAATCCTCAACATTTGATCAAACCTTATTATTTGAGCCAATCCATTTGATTTTCCATTTACATCGTGACCTGCAGTCGATCATGCTTCAACAAGAAAAAAATCCTCATAAAAACTACAAAAAATGTAATTTCAATGATGATGAAAAAAAAAATTACATGGTCGAGAAAATAAATTTTTTGCCGACAGTTTAAAGGAAACTAGAAATTTATTAGAACTCAGTAGTTAACTTTTTAAAAAGAGAAAAAAGAACCGATAGTGGATTATGGCATTTCATACTAATAATTTAACATAGAAAATTGGAAGACAGACATATACAGTGACACACGTCAAGAACAATATGGATTTATTAATACAAAACACAGATGCTATGTATTAGGCTAATTGTGATCCTCCAGAAAAGGATTCTCATCAGATTAAATTTCATTATTCAATTTGATAGGCACAACTCAATTGGGAATATATGATCTTCATTGAATATTTGACGGGTTCCTAAAGTAATACTCGTAATACACAAGTGAATTGAACCATGTTGAACCTAAATCACCACTAATATTCCCATGTTATTCTGCCACAATTGAAACGAGTAGAAAATTCATTCATGATTAAAATAAAAATGGTCGGTAATAAATAAAGATCGATGTGCAGCTTCAGTGGGTTGATGGCGGTTGGAAGTTGCAATTATTTTTGCATTCAAAACTGAGGTTTTAAAAAATTCTTCAAATGAATGTTAACAAAGAATCTCAATTCTCAACCTTTTGTTCGGTCCGGGATACATTTATTTTATTGGCCGGTCAATGCTAACTATAAACGAAATTGCAGATAAATGCTCTTGATGAATACAATATATTTATAATAGGTAGTATATATTAGTATATGAGCATAAAATTAAAGAGTGATTTATCTATGATGATGGATAATTTTATATAGTAGTGAAGCAGAGTATCAATCAATATATGGGTTCCTAATTAAACGGATGCCTCGTTGTAATTGATTCAAATTCCACGAGATAAAACTAAGATAAATGAGCGCATTTTAAAAAGGGAAAAATTGCATATAAATTTTGTAGAGTAAACTTATTTATAAGTAAATCCCACAAAATTTGAAAATTATAGCCAAGTCCCTTAGAACTAGGGTATAATTTGAAATTAGGCTGCAAAATAATAATACCCTTATTAAACATACATTACATCAATCAAATAAATAATTTGCAACTATTTCATTAGCAATTACAATTAGAATTTTAATTTTTTATAATTATAACTTTACATATTCAATAGTTTAACAATCATGCATTATTAATAAAGTCTAAGTGTTTAATATTAATTGTTTACAACTAATTCATTAGTAACTTATAACTATAATTTTAAATTTTTATAATTATAACTTCATATATTCAATAGTTAAACAGATGCAGTAGTTATAAATTATTTGACTGATATAATGAATATATGTTTAATAGAATATTATTATCTTTTTATTTTAATTTTAAATTTCATTTAGGTACCAAGAGATTTAATTATAATTTTTAAATTTTGCAGGACTTATTTATAAATAAGTCTACCCAACTCGAGATTTATATATAATTTTTCCTTTTTAAAAATGAGTGGGTACACACATTCATAAAATGGGGTGATTATGCCTAGA